CAGTAGTCGCTGGCCTGGCGTCTGATGGCTGGCTAGGTCTTGCTGAGCTACATTACTTCCAAGCTGAGTACTGTATCTAATGCTACTCCCGCTCCCAGTGTATTTCTTGCCACAGTTGTTGCTACAGAGATGCCAGCTGTTCAGATAATACCTTTGATTGTGATGGTGAAATATGTTTTGGGGTATATGGCTTTGGGAGTGGGGTGTGTGTGTTGCAGGGTTTGATCTAAAAACTCTGGAAAATCTGTTTTTGTGGTCTGACTACTTGGGGCTGGATCTGAGCATTGTCTTAGTCTTTGCAGAGCTTATGTACTAGCTCATGTTAGGGTTATATTTTCAGGCACTGATATAAACATACAGTCTTAATAGATGAGACTTTTAAAAATTTCTTTTTTGCAGCAAGTAGGTTGGCCACTTACTTGTAAAGTAGCTTGGTGGGTCAGGCCTAGGTAGAACCATGTCTGCATTCATTATCAATGTTGAAAGAAGTTTAGATCATGATTTAGAATTTGTACTTTCTGTTTTGTTAGAACTTTTAGTTAGTCTTTTAAATATTTTTTGTTTGATATCAATGGATGTGAAGTAGAAAGCTTGACTTGATTACTTGGTGATGTAGCACTGAAACTTGTAACTTTTGTGTGTGGAACTTGTATCTTTTGTTTGAAAGATACAGAAAAATGTTATTTAGAATATGGATTGAGATACAGACTATATGCGAGTTGAGAATAACTCTGTTACTTGCCAACACATTTGAAGCACAAGTACTGTGGTTCTGGTAATACAGTCCTTAAATTAGGACAGCATTTTAATAGAGACCTTCACAGTGCGTGTGAGGATAAAGTATACCTGGGGTGCAGTCAGTAAAAGTAACAGAGTTTCAGTTCATTTAATGGTATAGCACATGCCCAGGTAACAAAACAAATTCTTAAATTTGCCCCAGGCTGACGTAAATCTTCCATTGCATTGACACTATTATTTCAAATACAATTCTTAGCATAAAAGGAATGGGAAGTACCAGTCTGAAGTGCAGGTAGACATGGTCTGTGTCTTAGTCCATAATCATTATTCACATAAATGTAGTATATGCATTCAACCTAATAAAACTGAACCTTTGCAATTAGATACTTGTTTTAGTGACAGATTAATTTGAATCAAGCTCAAGTACTTCAAGTATAGTGGTATACCATGAGACCATTACAATGCATGTGTGATGGTCAGGAGGGTAAGTGTGGCATAGCATTTACAATTTGACGTGGGTGTGCTGACCTTCTATGTGTGTATAGGTTGCTGGTTGGTTGAGTTTTCTGGTGTCTTTCTGATGGCAGCAAAAACATTCATATCCTTTTCCCCTTCCTCTGCAACCTGTTGGTATCCAGTCCAGGATACGTTTCCTGTCTGTCTTCATGCTATGTTTGAAAACTAGTGGTTTACTGCTCTTTGTCTCATTTTCCTCTCCCTGCCATTGCAGGATCTCTCCTGCTTCCCCCAGCAGAGCCCTTTGCCTGCTCCCAGCCTGGGCAAGTACGAAACTTGCTGCTCACAGCAGGGGCTTCTCCCCTTCTTCACCCATTGCTTTGTCTCTGTTCTGTGTTTCTCAACTTGAGGACCACTGTGCCATGTAAAATTCTCTTATCAGGACTTCCTCCTCCTTTCCACTCCTTCATGTGTCCTTGACTGCATCAGGCAGGCATTGGAACGGAAAGAGTCAGCATCTAATTGGTAAAGTAAGTTCATTATATCTTTCCCTCATAGTCTGCTTATGAGCTGTGAGGGCTTTTTGGTGGGGTGGGGAGGTGGTTTTTTTTCTGCATGTGAGATGAGTGAGGGGAAGGACGTTTCTAGTTTCCTTTCTTCTTTTTTGGTTTGAAGCTGAACTGGTTTTGTTTCAGATCATGGTATGCACAAGTCTAGTGCAGTGATTTTTGAGCTGCATCACTGGCAGTTTGGAGAGGGCTGGGTAGCACAATGCTGTTGGGGCATCTTACTTCCAACAGTGGTTCCTTGGGACATTTTGCGGGTTAAGGCTGCAACAGCTGATAGGTAGAGGGGAGCGCCTTTCACACTTAATGGTGAAAGATGAAATCTAAGCGACTGTTTTAGGCTAGATTTAATGTGAACTACATTTTTGCCCTTTTGTGGGGTATGTGTGGGAATACAGCCATGTCTTTTTGTGTTTTGGCTTTTTCTATCAAGCTTCTTGTGGTACTAACTGAGGCCGTGGTTGGGCACCGAGCAAAAGTATTGTTTGAAGCTGGCAAATGCAATTGCTGTCCCCCTTGCTGCATGGCAAATTGGGTGAGGGAACTGAGCTGATGGGGATTGTCCCACCACCTACCTCTACCCCCTGCCCTCTCCTCCCACTAACCTCCCCTCCCAAACCTCCTTTAGTTTTGTTTATGCCTCGTCGTCATTTTCCAGGGTGATCACCTCATTTATTCAGGGCTGTTTTTGGGGAGGGGGATATCCAGGGTTCAGCAACAGGCCTTGCTGCTTAAAAGTCCTCATCAGATGTGCCTTGAGTCCAGTTGTGGAGGCATCAACACTTTATTGTTGGGTTTTTATGTTGTTGGTTGGTTTTTGCTCACACCACTCTTGTGGGGTGGGGCTGTGTTTTTAACTGCTGTATGTTAATTTAAAAGGTAAAATCCTTTTTTTTCTCTCCATCTGATATTCTCCTGCAGGTTCTCGGGCAGAAGGATTTAGAATAATGAGAAGGTCACATCCGTCAAGGGGGGATGTCAGTGCTGCCTTTCTGGGACTGGAAGAGTGAAAAGAAGAAAGGACAAGAATTATTTGTGACAGGCTGCTTTTGACTACTGAAACGATCTGCTATACCCTGGTGGTGGTGGTGGAAGAACAGGACAGTCTCTCCTGCTTGGTTCTGTGGTATCACCACAGTGGGGTCACGATGAATGTGACAAGTTTATTCTCCTTCACCAGTCCAGCAGTGAAGAGGCTGTTGGGATGGAAGCAGGGGGATGAAGAAGAAAAATGGGCAGAGAAAGCTGTTGATGCTTTAGTGAAAAAACTGAAGAAGAAAAAAGGTGCTATGGAGGAGCTGGAAAAAGCATTAAGCTGTCCTGGTCAGCCCAGCAACTGTGTCACAATTCCTCGTTCCTTGGATGGCCGGCTTCAGGTTTCGCACCGGAAAGGGCTACCGCATGTAATTTACTGTAGAGTGTGGCGCTGGCCGGACCTGCAGAGCCATCATGAACTGAAACCACTGGAATGCTGCGAGTTTCCCTTTGGTTCAAAGCAGAAGGAGGTTTGCATCAATCCCTACCACTACAAGCGGGTAGAGAGTCCTGGTAGGTTCTTCCTTGTTTGTACCTTTACACCTTATCTGAACAATGCAATGTATGGCACTTAATCATGTGATTCATCAGCTTAAATAAGCAAAAGTGGCTGTGTGCACAAGTCAGATTCTTCCTCTGCAATTTATCTGGATGTAAGCATTAATTAGCAGTTCTCTTTTCACATGGTGAATGCTTCATTTGTGTAAATGTTTTATCACTATACAGAGGCATAGTCTTATTATATGCCTCAGGCTGCTGGGTTTAGTATCACCTGGTTTTGTCAGTGACCACTGTCCTTCAATTAATTTGTTTTTTACTTAATTGAGCAGATCGGTGAATCTGCATGAAGCATTCCAAGCTAATGTAAAGGATTATTGCAGTCTGTGCATGAAAACCATTCTGACATATTGTGGTAGTGCTATTATTATTATTCTTATTTGCAAATTGTTATTTCACTTCTATCACTATTGTTTCTTCATCCCCTAGAAGATAATATTGTCTTTAGAATCTCCCACAATTTTGGCCTTTTTAAAAGACACTAATTTTAGGCAGCAGAATATAACCCCCACAATTTAAAGCTTTGACAGCAGTGTTTGGTTGTATGTGAAGTTTTCCTGTCAGCTGTTCTGTAAACGCAGTTTGCTTACCTGTTACCCCTTCCCCACTTCTTTTTTAAGGTGCAACCCAGTCTCTCTGTCTCCTCTTCAAAGGCCAAACCTCTTTTTGATAAACCTGTACTTAATTTTACTTAAGCAATTTTATTATCAGGGCATACTTCCAGGGTCTAAGATGAAATATGCTTGAATGTGTCTACACTGATCTCCAGCTACTTGAGAGGTTGTACAGGGACATCTGCAGAAATGCACTGCAGGTGTGGGTGAATTTCCCTGATTTAAATTTGGGAAGTCCATCAGTGTTAGGCATTTCATAAACTCTGTCTCTGCAGAGTGGCATGGACAGCTTAGATGGAAATAAGATTGTTGCAAGATTGCTTTTCTGTGGGTGGAAATTGCATTTGTCTTGTATCTGCAACATATAGTGCATATCCAGGTGTCAAATATTTCCCTTTGGTGTGTTAGTATTAACCTGGAAATCATGTGGATGGCAGAGGTAGTACCCATGTATGTATTTATGCAGCAGAAGCTTGAACAAAGGAACTCTGCACTGGAAAAACAGTTACTAAAAAAAATTTAAAATAAAAAAAAAAGTTAAAATTTTTAACAATTCCATGTTAAGCAAGTGGGATAGTAAAATAGTCCTGTCCTTGTACTGCTAGTGGTCTGCATATGTCTGTGCTAGTTGCTTGCATTCAGCATTCAAAAATACTGAAAATTAAGATTCCTGAAAGACATCTGTTTCTATCAGATTGAGCAACAGTTGGGCTCTTACTGTAAAGTCAAATGGCATGTTCCAACTCATTTTGCTTTAGTCTTGGAAACAATTACTGAGTTTGAATGTTCTCATTTGGACGATTTATACCACATTTAAAAATAGGTATTTGTAAATGTCCTGTCACTTCAATGAGATATGCAAGATAAAAATGGAACAGAACTTTCAAGAAGTGTCTTAACTAAAATGTACATTTCAGATGAGTGCTGCTAAGTAGTTGGAAAGCTGGGGTTTGGGTGTTAAGTAATCTTATGAATTTTGTATTTGGGAAACAGAGCAAGAAGTAATTAATTGTAAGCCTGAATTCTAGATTGCTCTGTAATTGTTTTTGGATAAGACAAAATTCTCTACATTCATGTAGCTACAGACATTTTGCTGGAAAAAACCCCAAACCAGTAACTTCAGCTGGAGATGGTAGAAATAAAATGCTTCCCTTTTTGCCCAGAGAGTACCCTTATTCAGGAAAAACTAAATATTATTGGTCAATTGTCTAACAGGCAACTGGGCAGTTTTCTTGTAAATATTAGGGCTGTAGTCAGTTTGATAGAGCTGATGGAAGTATTCAGTCTTTTGCAAGCTCAATGTGCTGCTCTAACCCATTAAAATGTTGTGGAGGTAGCTGCTGACCGGGAGCTAGTGCTCGCTTCTGCTGAGGTGCTCTGTTAAAACAGGGTCTGGAGGTACGATGTTATATGCGTGCTGAAGTTGGGTCCTGAACCCTTTAACAGCTTGCCAAAGTGCGAGAGTGGGGTTGAAGCCCACTGTGGTTTTACTGAGGTCTCTGGCTGGGTATGTAAAGGAGGAGGATTTTATATTTAGTCAGCCACAGATCTGCTGTTGTTTTGAGGGATGTTGCATGGGGATGAGTGGGAAAATGTGGCCTTTGGAAACAGGTGGTAGCTGAACTCCCGTTCGGCTTGGAGAGCTGTGCTTCATAACGTATGACTTCTTTTTTTCCTGTCCCTTCCTTGTCCCTGCTGTCCTCCAAGCATTGTCTTTATCTTCATTTCCTGACGGTCACTCCCAAATTCTGCTAACCATTTTTTCCTAATTTTGCCAGGACATTAAAACATTATTATTGCTGCATAAGTGCTTGCACTTCGAGATTAATGGGTTGTGGGAATTTACGCATCAGTCACTGTTTCCAATAGTCTATGGACTCAAGCAGATATCAAGGCCTGTGTTTTCAAGGCTGTCATCGCAGCCAGGAAGATTAGAAATGCAATTCTCTTGATAAAACAAAATTGGAAGCTCAGATTGTGTATGATGCACGTTTTGTGTGCAAGGTGCATTGTGAAATTCTGTCTCTGCTTGACAGCGCGGTCTCAATTTCACTGCTTTGTGCAGATCCAGTTACTGGAGAGCTGAAGTGTGTGGTGCGTGTATGGGATGGCATCTATACGTTCACTCTTCTGCTGGTGGTTATGTGATTTGTTTTAGTGTTGTATATGTTTTGAGGAAAGAATTAGCGGTAAATCATCAAATATGTAAAATCAGGTAATACTTTATGCTGGGAAATCAGTGCTATGGGTGTGTCTTGGTTTTCATGGTGCCAGAGGGTTGCATGGATTTTCTACCTTGATGCCTTATTCCATCCTTGCTGTTTAGTTTGAGAAGATAAGCTGGGAAAACAGGAGAATTAGCATACCGTGGTGTGTCTGCCAGCTACAAAGCTACACCTGAATCCAAGCAAGAGATTTTTCTGTTAGCTAGTCTAGATAGAAACTGGTTGTCAACAGTTCCGAGGAGGTGGAAAGCTGTCGGCAGTCTCCAGCAGGGATCCTCCCAGGTGTCTCCAAGCGTGGGCTGTGCTGTTGCCTCTGTGCAAGGAGGGGAGCATGCCGTCTGGCAAGCGCGTGGGTGTGACGTGGTGGCACCATACTCATCCGTGACCTGACCAAGAGGCTCTACACAGGCACGGGTGCCCATCTGATCCTGCAGTGAGTCGATAGAGGAGGCTGAACAGACAGAAAACTACTTTTTGGCATGGTTAGCTTTGCAAGCCTGGTGCCCTCAGTTCGCTCGCTGCAGTGTCAGATGTGGGCAAGGCAGCATGGGGGCATGGGGTGGAGGCGAGGAAGGGTGACCTTCCCATGACGGTGTGACACTTCATCACCCTGGTATCAGCAAGCTGCCCCCCAGGTGATGGACATGTGGTCTGATCTGTGGCAGGGTGCATAAACATCTCTTGCTTGCTGTGTTGTGCCAGCACAGCAGTTTGCGTGGCCTCATGCTGAACCAGATCACAGTCACTTTTTCCCTTCCCTGCTGTGTTATCTTCCAGGCTGATCAGAGCAGCACCGGGGCACACAGCATGGCTGTGGGAACATCTGTACCAACACAGCCCTGTGGATGACATATGGGAGGGAGTGGTGGGAAATAAGAGGAGAAAGTAGAGGCTGCTTTGTTACTGGGGGTGGGAATACAACCTTGTACTCAACTGCCAGGAAGAAATATCTCCTTGAGATGTGTTACAGTAGCTCACTGCTGCTGTTCCGTACGTCTGTTGTGTGCAGAATTACTTCTGGTGCAGGGTAGTTACTGGCTGACAAATTTCTCCCTTGGCAAGGCAAAGCAAAGCTTTTAATTGAGGAGGGCAGGATCTGAATTTGATGCCTTTTAAAAACTGGCACGCTCAGCTGAACGGGTGTGCTCACTTGGCTGAATCTGCTTTTCCTCCTCAGTTTTATTTTTTGGTTTAGAGATATCTGGAAATGAGGCTCATACTTGGTTGAGAACCATCCTTTAAGCATGATCAGGACTTGAGAAATAATTAGTTGTAGAGCATAAGTAGACGTTGTGAGGAAAAGTGAACACAATGTTCCTCATCACTCTCTGAAAATGTCACAAATGACCTCTCAGGTTTTGCCAGAGAATGCATGAAATGACATTTGGAAGTAGCCCTGAGATACTTCTTTCCCTTCTTTTATTCCTTTGGTTTCTGCGGAGATACAGCCTCTGTCGCTTGCCTCTATCCTCAGTTTTGCTGATGGGATCAGGTGAAAGACGTCATCCAGAATTTAGGGGAAATTAGGGCTTTTTTTAAGCCTGGATCCCATTTGCTCAAAACAAAAGGAATGGGATAGGGAGCAAGGAGGATGCAGAGATGCTTAAATTAGCACTACTATTAAAAAAATAATAGTAAGTCACACCTTTAATGTGGCTTTAGGGGAGGAGGTTCAGTTCTTTCACCTTAGCTATAGGGAAGGAAGGAAGGCAGGCAGATTTAATTTTCTTAAAGTACTAGTGAACACTAGCTCTCAGTTCCATCTGATGCAAAATTGTGTTAGTTTTCCTCTGCTAAGCGTCCTTGCTCATCAGCCTGCTAGATCAAATAGGATTTGAGTGTATAATATGTTACAAAGGAGGCAAAAAAGCAATTAACTTCTCTTTTATTCCTCATGTGTGGAAGTGGTTAAAGGTGCAGTGTTTACATAAATGGCTACCCATCTGCCCAGAAACTGAATACTGTCTCCTGAGAGCATCCAGAATCTGCTGATACCTCCTCAGGGGTCAGACTTGGGAGAAACCTGTTCTTCATTGATCTCAGTGAGCTTAAACCTGCCTTGGGAAATGCAGTTGTTAACTTTTCGATATTCATTTCTGGAGGTGCTTACTGATGC